TCAAAAGCAATCTTTTCTTCTTGTAATTTGGCTGAAGCGTCTTTGTGAGTTTCAATTTCAGACTCCAGGTTGGCTGAAGCTGTCTTGTGGGTTTCGATTTCAGATTCTAATCTTCCAACCTTTTCTTCAAGAGCAGCCTTCTCTTCTTGCAACTTAGTCAATTTTTCTTCGGCCTCCACGTTGGAATCAACCTGGGCCTGTAGCTTAGACTCCACTATGGCAAGCTGCTCTTTTAGAGCAGTTTTCTCTTTTTCCGTTTCTTCTGAAGCTGTCTTCCCATTTTCTTGACTCTGTATCTCAGCCTCTAACTTGTTGGCTTTCTCCTCAAGGTCAGATTTTTCTCCCTGTAGTTCCTTAACTTTGTCCTTAGCAACTACACATTCTTGACCAATTAGAAGCAAATTATCTTGAAGGTCTTCAATCTCCTCCCTGAGATCATCCTCGGTCTTGCGCTTAATTTGTAATTTCTCTATTTGCTTATCCTTGTCAGCAATCTGGGTTTTGAGTTGGCTGATTTCAGCTCGCAAGAAACCAGCATCGACACCGGGTGCCATCCCAGAGACGGAAGTGGGTTCTTGGTTAGCAGAGGTAGTGGCAGGTTTCTTGCTCTTCTTCTTCGCCTTCTTCCTACTGGATGCAGAAGGTGCTGATGTCGAGGCTGTGGCCGGCTCGGATGTAGGGGGTTCTTCATTTGCTGGAGATGCCTCCTCGTTGGATTTGATAACTTCGATCTCATTCTCAAGCTCTTCAACGCGCTTAGTTTTGAGATCCCTTGATTTGGTAAGCTCTTCAATTTGAGCATCGAGGTCCTTCTTCTGTTGTTCAGCCTCTTTTCGGATATCAGATTGAGACTTTAACTCTTTCTTCTTGAATTCATTAAGTTGATTGATCTGATTATTGAGGAGCTTAATTTGATTTTCAGCTTCTTTACGGGCATCCGACTCAGACTTGAACTTTTTCTCTGCTTTGGAAGTTTGTTCTTTGAGTTGCGATTGCAGAACTGAATAACTATCTGAGCTCAGCTTCTTTTGCTTTTCCAAGTTCTCCTCAAGTTTGGCTTTTTCGGTTTCCGCAGATTTTAATTTCCTCAATCTTTCTGAATGTTCTTCCTTTTGAGTTTCCAAGGACTTCTTGGCTTCGGCAAGCTGTTTTTCAGTGATTTGCAATTTGTCTATACTTTCCGAATACTTTTTCTGTTCAGTCTCTGAAAACTTCTTGGCTTCGGCAAGCTGTTTCTCGGTTGTTTGTACCTTTTCACTAAGTTTTTTATTCTCTCCCTCCTTGACATCTAGTTGTTCTTGGCGGGACTGGGCAAGATCGGTAGCCTTCTTGACCTCCTTGATAGAATCATTCAACTCAACTTTTACTTTTTCCAAATCCTCCGTTAACCCAGAAGCCAATGCTTTAGCAGCGGAAAGATCCTTTTCTGATGAAGATAATTTTGATTTCAAGTCGTCGATTTCTGCTGACTTAGCTTTGATCTCCGATTGCAATTTTGGTAGTTCATCGTCGCGCGAGAAAACTTCCTCTTTGGTATTCTTTTCTGGGGTTTCTGTGGAATCCGTGGTGGGACTATCGCCAATAGTAGAAGCGTTTCGAAGCGATACGAGCTCGTCCCGAAGACTAATATTTCTCTTTCCAGACTCCAGGTACTTCTTTTTTTGATCATCGCGATCTGCAGTTACACGTGCAAGTTCTTCCTTCACCAACCTGCCTTCTTCTTTCTGTGCATTGAGATATCCAGCCAACAAATCAGGTTCTTGAATGGAGCCGATAGGTGTGTATTCCTTGAGGACTTTTTCGAAAGGTTCAATAAACTTATTACGAGCATGTGCAGTTCGATAAGAATCGAGGAGAACTATTATGTGGCATTAATAATCGTAGACTGAAACCATATGAATGAAACACACTCTTATATTGACCCTCAATCTTTTCCAGCTTTCGCAACTTCTTCTCAACTTCTATTGAGGAAAGCTCAGCAGAAGCTCTTGGAGTGGCATTTGTTGTCTTTTCACTGCCATTGGTCGCAGGAGAACTGCCGTCCAACAGCTTATTCGCATCTCCCGCCATTGTCCCAATTCGAGTTGAAGGTTCAGAATCGTCCTCGATTACAAAAGTCGATTCAAACTCTGCCGGATCTGGATCTCTGCCACCTATCTCATTATCATCCTTTGGCCGTGGCTTTCGTGGCTTTCTTGAAGGAGATTCGTTGGCAGGCCGTCTCGAAGTTGAGGATGTAGAAGCCGATCTTTGAAGATTGGGATTGGTTGCGTTCAATCGTGCCTTTTCTTCTTCGATACGAGTATCTATTTGAGCTTTAAGTCTCTTTTGAATTCGTCAGCTAATTTATCTGCAAGGTTGCGATCCATATTTAAAGAGTGAACTTACCTGGAACATTCTTTCCACATGTGGTGGGTTGAGGGCGTCTTTACTTTTTTTAGACTATTAATAAATTATTGTAAGGTTGTATGAGAACTTTGGACGCAAGTGAATTCGTGAAATATTAATGATCATAATCAGCCGTTTAGAAGGGAATGGTATTGCATGGGAATTGGGTAAGAAATTGAAGATATAATAATGATGACAATGATAATACCTACTTGTCAACTTCTCAAACTACCTAGGTACATGAGAGACAGATGATCGTCGTAAAGGACAAAGCGAGAACCTCGTAGCCTCATGGCCTCATAGCACGTACAGTACTCAAGACTAAGACTGAGCCTCCTCTTACCCCGTATCTACACCCCTACCTTGCTTGCTTTTTATACCTACTCGTATACAGTACTATGTAGGTAGGTAGGTACGAGTAAAGCTAGATTGGTACCCAGGTATATATGGGCCAGAAACGCAGCTCAATACGAGTGCTCAGTACATCAACTCAAAGAGGTAATGATAATGCTTGTCGTACTCTTTCGAGTCCTTGGGTAAGTTTGGTGTAATTTGGTGCCATGTCGAATGCTTCTAAATGCTTCTAATGCCCGTAATCATTACCCACGAGTGCATGTGTTATAGGGGTGTCACGGCCGGACGGGCTCGGCGGGCTCCATAGCCCCTAGTAGGTACTAGGTAGTAGAGAGTTTAAACCAAATTCATTCAAACTTTCCCCCTTCAAAGTCAAGCCCCTCTCAAGTTCCTGAGGTTGGATCTAGAGTAGCTAGGAGCTAGGTAGTCTCCGGAGTACTATATATAAATTATACGGAATTATATATACACCTACCTAGGTAGTATATACACCTGCTGGGTATGTACAATAACTACCAAGTTTAATTGGGCTAATTAGGTTTCCTTCCATCCAATCACCGAAATTACCTTGATACTAGGAGTAGGAGTCAGCAGCTTGCTAGCTTAGCTACAAGAAGTGACGAAACTATTACCTTGGAAATTTACCCCCTCCCACCAAGAACACTCTCGCTCCTTTCCTCTACCATTCACCTACCTACCTATTGATATGAACTTCAATATGAGGTGACCTACAACTAACTCCTCTTACTATCATCAAATTCCGAATTCATTCTCTAAAATGGTTTCACTTTGGCCCTGGAAGGTATGTGAAGCTTCCATTTAAAGTTGTACGTTTAGGCCATTCACTAACCTGAATATTATGCAAAGCGCGAGGATAATTCTCCTGCCTCCTTTGAAAAAACACTATCTGCTTTGGCAGAGAAGATTTCAAAATCACAATCACAGCTAGATTCTCGAAGGCTTCGTGGCAGACGTGTGAAAGCATTATGGACATTGTATTCGAGCTTTGCATACTTGGTGGTGTTCGTCATAGCAATTTTAGTGATCGGTTGGAAGGATTTGACAGTCTTGGAGTATACTGGTCTTGCGGGAAGTCCTTTGATGTTAGTATCACCAAAGAAACATATTATCCTGATCGTATGCTGATTCACTCATTAGAATCTATCTCATTCGAAGTGGTATTACGAGATATTATGAATACAGGGTTGACTCTATCGCGCGTCGTCTGGAAGAACAACAAGCTGAGAGAACAAAAACCATCGACAAATTAAAGGCTGCCACGAAATATAACACCACACAAGAGCTTCTAGAGAAATACGGTGGCGCTCCACCAAAACCTCCTGCACCGAAGAGAACTGCATCTGTGAAAAAGACTCCAAAGAATAAAGATGCGCAACCCCCACGAACAAGCATGGGCCCACCTGCGACAGCAAATATACCCCGCCCTAACCAGATTCCGAGTCAACCTTCCACCCCTCAACCACTTGGTAGCAGGACCCCTCCTTCATTTGTCGCTCCATCTCCATCGCCTATCGCTCCTCGAAGTGAGCCAGGCCCTGCTGAATTTGCACCAAACGCATTTTCGGGTCCATCTCAATATGCACAAGGTCAATATGCTCAGAGTGGAGAGTTCGTCGCTGAAGGACACTGGTACGATCGAGTATTAGATTTGTTGTTGGGCGAGGATGAGACACATCCAAAGAATCGTATGGCGTTGATATGCAAAAACTGTCGACTTGTCAATGGTCAAGCACCACCTGGTACAAAATCCTTGGCCGATTTAGGGAGATGGAGATGCTTTGGTTGTCGAACCTTGAACGGGGAGGAAGATGAAGCTGCAAAGGCCGTTCAAGAAATGAAGGAAAGAATCCAGGATACCAACGTAAAGGAAGAAATCCATTCTGAGCCTGAAGATAGAAGTACGGAGGATCCTGAAGACACACCTGGGAGTGAGGATGTTGATCACGATGATATCAAGAATGAAAAGGAGTCGGAAGAAGAAGGGGTCGACGTCAAACCAAAAAGGGGACGGCCCAAATCAACCCGCAAAAAAGCTTAACTTGTGGCCATTGATCTTATTTCATTATGAGCTATCTACATGCCATATCAAATCCCTGATTCCCTTTTGTACCTTATCTATCAGATGGCAATTCGCCCGTCCCAAAAATCATTATCACGTTATTCTTAGCCGATTATTTCCATGATCATCAAGTTGTGATATCCATAATTCAGTCACCGTTACTGAATTCTTCCTGAAACTATAAATCATCCTCTTCGTTTTTATTCAATCTTCGCGAATTCTCCCCTCTAGCTGAGAATTTTCCACTTCCACTTGGAGAAGAGAATCCCTTGCGGTTGGCAAAGGAGGATTGATATTTCGGAGTATAAGGTGGGATTGTTGGCCCAAACTCCACATCATCCATTGCGGCATCCTCAGCCTCTGTCTCGCGTCTCTCCCTCTCCTCCTTCTCCCTAGACTTTCTCGCAATACCTTCTCGCAGCTCTTGTTCCTTGGCTGTCAATGGAGCTTTGAATGTGAATACATCACTCTCTAAACGCTGTGGTGTATAAACAGGAGCACGGTTCGAACCTGGTTGTTTCATTACAAGCTTCTTGTTCTCCGCTCCACTGCGTCCGCCTTTCAACCCCATGTATTGTGCAACGTTTCCCCATTCCATATATTTTGCGGCATTTCCCCACGGCTTTGACGACGCACTTACAGTACCATAACCAGGATTGAGAACGCTGCTAGAAACACTCTGTCGCGCAAAATTACTTTCCGCCAATGTTGGTTCTAGGTATTCGCTACCTTCTAGATCATCTGCTGACATTCTCATCGAACTGGGTGCGCTTGGGATCGATCGATTGGGCGGTTTGGAAGAAGCAACGATGGGAAAGACGGGTTTCGGTACGGGTCTCAAGACTGGTCTTGGATAATCAGAAGAATGAAAAGAGACTTGCATTCGCTCCATACTCGGAGCTTGTCTTAATCTTTGGCTCGATTTTTGTCTTTCTGTTCTCGGAGAAACCAAAGCGAAATCTTGCATGTCATCTCTACTGGAAATTCGTCGTGGTTCTCGTGGGGGTTCTCGTGATGCACGTTGAGTGTGTGATGCACGTCGCGATTCTGGTTCTGGCGATCGTCGAGAAACAATAACAGGCACCTCCATCTTCTCCATGCTGGGCATTCGTCTAGTTGTTCGACTTGCTGCTTGTCTAGGGATTTCCCCAGGAGCGTCTCGAGATTCTTGCTCCGGCGCCGAGTTGGATCTGGTCAACCTCTCACTTTCCTCCATAAACTTGCTGTGATAATTGCGATACATGGCTGCTTTTGTGATCGAAAATTTGTTATCTCTATTGAGAATATGCGGCTTTGATGGCGGTGGAAATGATTGATTATAAGAGTTGAAGAATAGTACCTGGACGTAGGAACTTTGAGAGGGCGGAGTGGTAGTTTGAGGGCGTTTGTTGCTTGAGCTTCTCTTTTGTGAGATATTGTACCGTAGGTATCGAGGTTTGGTACGGTACTCGTATTTCTTCTTTAATAACTTTATTCTCTCGATACAATGAATTATTTGGAAGAATAAATATACACCGCAATCACAGTCCAATCCAATCAATACCTGAGAAAACTGCACTTGGTGATCTAAATAAAGTCTTTGAAAAAACACCAAAACGTCTTATTGACAATTTCAATACGGTCTGCAGTATACTCATAGAAGCACACACATCTTTTCTTCTTGAATGTATAGTATGTATGTTCAATATTACTATGAGTGTCTGTAGTTGTGGATGATATGTGTGGTTATTGTATTGTAATGGATACCTACCTAGTTTTGAATAATCATCAAGATTCCGTTCTTCTATTGGCTGGAGGTTCTCGAAGCGAGAATGAGAAAGGGGTGAATTGAATTGAATTGTTTGGTTTTGCATACCTAGGTATCAGTGTGTGGATTTTGAAACTTATGGTTGGGTGACTGGTTGACTAGAGTTACCTATGAGAGGGAGTTACATGGGAGAAATTTTATAAGTGCTAGTGAGTGCTAGTGAGTGCTAGTGAGGTCTTGGGGATGGGGAGGGGAGAAGGTATTGGGGTTTGGGCATGAATTTGGGTTGGTTTGGTTTGGTTTATTTGGTTTGATTTATTTGGTTTGATTTATTTGGTTTGATTTATTTCGGTTTGGTTTGGATGGAGATTTATGCTGAGATTTGGATGTTTGGGAAAGTGTGGATAGAGGGTGAGGGGATATGAGATGGAAAGTGAATTGAGTATTTTGGGGCATGGAAATGTGATTGATTCATGGGGACAAAATGTGCTGTGAGCGGTGTACTGTGCTGTGATTCTTTTGTTAATGGTTGGGTTTGGTGATTGTGAAGATGAAGGTGAGGGGGGTGGAGACCTGTGAATAGGATAGGTTGGTGTGGGAGGCTCTTGATTGAATGGCTGGCATGAGTGGATGCTGGAGTGAGTGGGATGGCGAGGAATTGTGAGTGTGAATATGGATCTGTGGTTTATGGGTTCTAATTTAAGGATTTGGAATAGATATGATGAGGTGGTGAAATGGTGAAATGACGAAATGGGGAAATGCTAAGGAAAGTGAAGGACTTGGGGTGAATACTAAATGCGTGGAGTCATTTTGTACAGAGATGTCATTGGAATGGATCTTTTGTCTTGCTGGTATTGGTAATGACATGAGGAAGATAGGAATTTTAGTTCCAGGTTGTTCTACGAAGATACTCGAGTTATTCAAGAAAGGAGATGAGCAGTTTTTTCATGCAAGAATTACTTGAACGATGTGATTGCATTATCATTTTTGATACTGCAAGCATTTCTACCTCTCTTTGACACTAGTGCAGGTGAAATAATGATCTTGGCGAAATGGCTATTTAATAGATATCTAGATTCCTCTCATTGTGCCTCGAAATCGGTACTTGAATTTCTTTCAAACACACCTGACATCGTCATCATCGCACTCCACAAGAAGCTCTTCTTCCTCATCCATCAAGATCGCCTATACCAGCCTTACTCTCTTTGCTTTGTCTACGATCTACGCTTCCCTGCCTGTGGGTCTTTCTTCTTCTTTTCCTCCTGTTCCTTCTTATACCGCTCCCCATATGCTTGAGCTAATCTATGACCTCCTGAATCCGGTCCCGTGTATGTTGCGGGATCTAGATTCTCATGCCCCCATCGTTTTTTCTTGATGGTCGGGACGAATTCTATCTCCTCCATAGCTTTGTTTGCCTTTTGGGTTTCTGCATCTTGACCGGATGATGAAAGAAGCTCGCTATCCTTAGTTGATGCTGATTTTGTTGGTTGGATGACTTGGGTGGGTTTTCTTGGGGGCTTGGGTGTAGATTTCTTAGGCTTGCTGCCAGTGGGAATGCCGGAGCTGGGATTTCTACCTGCAGGCATTTTGGTTGAAGGATTGGGTATGTAGTATATGGCGTGAAATATTGTAGCTCAGTGTATAGTATATATATCTATGGGACGTTTGTCGATCAGTAATCCTATATGCAAGACTGTTATATATACCTCTTGCCACAATTACGGAGACGTACATATTTTGGGCCGCCCAAACTTCAACCCCAGCGTTTCCAATCTTGACATGATAAGTTCGTACGAATGGCTTATTTTACTCTTGGCGGCCATATTTAAGGCTGGTTGGAGTTCGATGGTCGAAGTCGCCGTGTATCTTTTGTATCATTCATGGCACTGTGTATGAAAATTTTCTCGTATGTATGTTTGTCCTCGCAACATTTTTGCAAAGTCTTCGATGCCACTACTCACCATTTTCGTGTTCCCGTTGTGTTCCTTTGCAGTAAAGTTTCCCATCAACTATGTTCCTCATATTTATGCATATCTGTCGCCAATCTTCAACTTTCTGAACAAGGTAGATGGTGGTAAAGGAAAGCCAGCGAAATTTCGCTGTTGGAAAGTTAGGATGTAGGCCATGGTCTTGACCGAAAACTGTAGCCCTCACCAACATCAATTTTCAAACGGAATTGGGGAAATCTAACCTATTCTTCTTCTTTGGTCCAAAAAAAAGGGCCCAGATCTGTTGTAATACTTTCACTGAGTTGTTTGTTAACCATTTAAGAGTTTAACCGACCCCAAGCCAGTATCATTCTTCATTGCTTTTGCCTATGTTCTTGTACTCTGTACTTCTTCCCATCTTCTCCGTATGCTGAAGTCACTTGTAAATTGTAATCATAGTATCCAGCGTCTCGTTTATTATCTTAGTCTGCGAGATATCTTCGTAGGGCGCAAGTGCCACCGCTGCCCTCATTATCTGAATTTGTTCTTATTCTTTTAGCCGTTGCTTCTTGTTCGCTGTCTGAATTGTTGTACACTTTGATTTTTCGCTGCTTTCGGAGTCTTGAGGGGTTTTGTTGTTGGGCTCCGCTGGATTGTGTGTCGTGTATATTCGTGCTTCGATCGAAGTATGAGGATGCAGCTCACTTCGAGCTTCTATGGAAAATATCGGCAGTGCGAAGATCAGAGGACGTTGATTTCTCACTTTGATTATTATCCGCTCAAATCGTGCGGTATTGGGTAGGCTTTTGATGGTTGTCGTGTCGAGGGCGGTGTCGCAAGATTATCGAATAAGCGCTGCAAATGCCACATGATTAGTGTGATTCTTCGATGATTCTAGCTGTATTTGTAAACTTGGAGATTTTACTAACGCTTTGGAAGTTTGGATTGGGAGTTTGTATCAGTTTTTCTGGCGCATCATGGTATGTTCCGTATGCGCTGAATTGCGAAGCAGTTTACCTGGTCGGGGAAAACTCCTGAACATAGCGCAACTTACTCGCCTCAATCCCTCCAATTACGTTCAAAGATCTCACACTGTTTTGAAACGAGTAAACCAAGAAATAACACCTCATTCTATGACAAATTTTTGATACTGCATAATCTGCATCAAATTCCTGGTATGGCTGGTCAGAAAATCTTGACACTTCATTGGTGAGTCCCTATTTTCAAAGCCAAAATATGGTCAAATTAAGCAACTTCAACCATTTCACAATTAGCAAGATATGTTTTGAGAGTTCCTTTAATTGAATAGATAAGGTTTGAATGTGTCAAGTATTGAAGTGATGTTGGTGGTTTGCCCTTCGAGTTCTCGCTACCCCGTATCACGGGATCAAAAAACAATGAATGACAAAACAAGGACAAAAGCTGTTTTTGAAGATTTTGACGTTTTGCGTACGTTGTGTGATTTTTTTTTACTTGTAAGGCTTGAAAGAATACTATGTGAGTCTTTCAATCCCCAGTATTAAATGATTCTCACCAACCTTGACATAGTTTGAGTATAAAAGATTACTTCAATCTAGAGCACGCAAAATTTGAAGGAGAATGCGCGAAGCTGGCGAAGCTCCGCACCATGACCAAAGGAACTTGAAATAGCCAGAATCTAGCTTTCACTTCTTGTTGCTCACTGTTATAGGTCCCATAAAGTTCTCCACGTCCCATGGATAGCTTGAGTTTGTGTAATGATTAATGATAATGAGCTTGAACCTTTCTTTCGCGCACAGTAAAGCTTCAAAGATCACTTATTAACCATCTATTAATAATAATTTGAGCTAATTCTCCAACTACTGTTAAATGGTAAACTCCAATGTCCTCCCCAGCGTCCAATAACATTACCTTTTAGAATAAATGATCCACCGTAGTAAAAAATAAGGGACTGGAAGAGCATGAAAAATGCAACAAAAAATGGTACCCATTAACAACAACATACACTGGGATAAACTGTACGATTAGAGTCTCTGGCTTCAGCAGTAATTCAAGGGCAAAGAATCCAGTGTTTATCATTGATTGGCATAGAAGAAGTTGACTAGGACCTCATACAAAATTATGGTGAAGATCAGGAAACACATTCTAGATTAAACTGGAGGGTAGCAGGCATTCAACTATATTTCTACTATGATTTGGAAGGAGCCTATATCTAGATACTGTACAGCTACCCATCGAACCTGCGTTCCTCCTTGTGTCCCGATCATCACTAAAGGACCAAAAATTCAAATCCAACTACTCACGGAGACCTTAATCCTGTAATTCGATCAGAATGAGTACCCATTCTGTAGGTGTCGATGAACATCAGCCGAAGGTGTAGACCAGAAGTAGCTCCACTCTTCCCGCTTGGAAGCCCCTCTATACACCTCCTGCGTCCAGTCCCATCACATGCCGCAATCCAGAAGTTCCACTTCTCTCGAACTCTCTCAATATCCCATCCATTCTAACCAATGCTCATGTGAAAAGACTCCACAACTAAGAGCTAACCAACTACGCCGTCGCACAGAAAGAAGTCCAAAAATCTAAAAAAAATAATACAACGGCAATTTGGTATACACTTGCTCACTGAGGCAGCGTGCATGTATATCCCAAATTGCGTATTATATGCCAGCTTACTGAAAGATATATCTATGTGGATCATGGTTGATTTGCGGAACATTTTGTTGAAGACACGATATAAAAAACTTAAACACCTTAATTAACCGCTAGGAATCGACATGTACTTTATTTTTAAGTCTTCACTCTCTTTCCTTCCTCCTCTACCAACCACTCATAGTATCCTTTCCTCTTCTCTTTTCTATTTCATGAAAACGCTAAACATGTACGATCAAAAGACTTAGATTCCAACATTGAGCTTCAAGGTATATTAACAATTTGATTTGATATAATCAGCAACCAACAACCCATTCCAAGCTACGCCGATTCCATCTCGAAATATATAAGCATAAACGCAATAGCAAAAGAAAGCTCCCTCCTCACTCTCTAACTTTATTCAATACTAACAAACCATCACATACCAACATAGTCCAACCCACACTACCTTCAGGACTCCTTGAGTCAAAGAATAAAGAATCACACAAGCCTCAAACGAACCCCGCACACCTCAAGCCAAATATAAACACCAAGTACGATAGTTTCCTCACAGATATTGCTCCGAGCCTCATTTCCTCAAGATCTCCACAACTGATACAAATAACCATACGAAGACATACATTTGGAGAGAATATCAAGGGAAAAGTTAGCCGCAGGAAATAGAATCTCCCACGTAAAGGATAGGGCTACGAACAAACTTAATACAAATTGACACTCAACTTCCCTATCGTCAAAGTCCATCTCACTCAAATCCCAAAGAATTCAATCATAATGAGCCTGCAAACCACCTCGCCCTTCTAAAACTATCAAGAGCCTCAAAAAAAATATACAAATCTCACACAACAAAATTTCCCATCTCAGAAACCCCCAACTGTCCCCCTATACAATTACTCACCCAGATTCCAACACCAACAAACAAAGCAGAAGACTAAACTAAACTAAATCAAACTAAACCCACGCCAAGAAATCTAGCATCCTACTCAATCCAGCCTTCAAATTCCCACTACCTACTAGGTATTCAACCTACCACACTACATCCTATAATTGAAATTTCATACACACAACAAAACCTACTTAACAAGCTCTAATTCGATTCGAGTACAACACCCAACCAGTCGTTCTACTAAAATCCTAGCTCGAACTTAAACACGACATAATCCAATACCACGCCCTCTCTACCTCTCTACCTCTGTACCTCTCTCTACCTTCTCGTAGAAAGCTCAAGCATCAAATCTATAAAAACATACCAACCCCTTTCATATTCCAATACCACAAATGAAGTATTGCCCATGTAGCAAGTACGACTACAGTAGTTCAGTTCAGATTACTTTATTCTCGTTTAGCTCAACTGCACGAGCTACGCAAACCAGAATCACAACACAACCCTAAATACAACGACGAAGATAAATCAGCTACAGAATTATACATGTACATTCAAAAACACCTACCTCCTCCCCTCTCCCCCTTCCTCTTTCCCAGGATCCCACTCTCCCAATTTTCCCTTCATATCGCTCGACTACCGAGTCCCTACCCATCGCTTGCTTCAGAAACGATACTCAGCGCCAAATTATACCATATCGACTCATAGCCCTCATCAAATAGAACCGCCTCTCCTCTTGAACTTAAACGCCCTCACAAGAGAGGAAACCATAGTATAATTTCATACGATCATCATTAGACCATTCCGCTACCGCATCGCTCATCTAGCATCTACAATATCATTACCTATCCCCTCTCCCTCCCCTCCATCCCCTATTTCTTTCTTCTCCCCTTCTCCTCTCCCACCAAACTCTCCCCCTTCACCTCAACTCCCATCTCCCACCTGCAGCTCCTCCCCATACAAATCTTCACATCCAAAATTCAGAATAAAGATTCAGTCTAATCACATCCTGATCCTGATAAGCATTACAATTAATTCTAATTTTTCTATACCTCAATTATCATACTGATAATAGTATACTAATCTAACCACAGCTAGGCATCTATACTAAACTCTAATCTTTCTATTAAAAAAATAATGTCATCAGCACTAGTCAATACAATATTAGCCCTCTCAAAGCACTTTACTCTTCCATTTCCCAGTCTCATAAAACACCCGATCCCCGATCCCCAATTCCCAATCCCAAGTAACCGAGTCCCCAAGCACTTACTTAACACATGAAATTCCCACCAAAAGTATATACATAATCCTAATCCTAATTCCAACCACCCAAACCCACAAGTCATGACCTCATTACCCTCCATCTATTCCCAATATTCATACACCAGCCCCTTAACCTAAAGAAACACCGAACCATCACCCATTCCACCAACACTCCCCCCACCCTCATCCTCCCCCATACTTCCCCCCGCCATCGTCCCCACACTAGCAATTCTCTTCCGTCTACTACTCAAAAACATATCCACCATCTGCTTACTACCCACCTGCTGCTGCTCCACCCCCAACCCATTCGAACCCACCACCCCACTTCCTTCAACCCCATAAACATCATCCACACCCCCTACAACACCACCAACTCTTTCATTCTCCCTCCCACCAGCTCTCACTCTCGATCTTCCCGTACCATGCAAACTTCCATTCGCATTCGCATTTGGCTTCGCATTCGCGCTCCCAAACTGTCTCTCCACCGCGGCCCCAATACCCGTACCCGGACTACTCTGCGGCGTAAAGTTATACACCGGTCTCCCACTCCTCTTGACCAATTTCGCCGGGCTCGTTGTAAAGCTATAATTTTGACTTACACTCGTATCGAAACTCTTCACGCTTCTAATACTCTTACTGCTTTTCATCGCGGCATCCGAGATGTTTCGTTTGTGGAGTACATTGCGCGTACTCTGAGTCTGTTTTTCTACACCATGATCGGGTGTTGTTGGTGCGCTTCTGAGGGTTGTAGATGAGAGACGTTTGTGCAAGACGTTGCGAGCCTTTGTGTTTGGATTCTGGGCGTGGGTGACGGAATTTGGGGTTGCTGGTACATGTTGGAAGTTCGAGGTACTTTTCAGACTCGACTTGCTTTGTGCTGGTCTTAATGCCGATCTAATAGGAAGCGGGGGTGGAAGTAGTGGTGCAGGAGGAACGACGCATGGTTTTGTGTTGTCGATGAAACCATTCTCAGCCAAAGATGTCGTTGAGCGATTTTTCAGGATCGGCTTCAGAAGAACTTGAGCATTAAGATTCTGTTGAATGAGACCAAGCGGTTGTTTACCAACAGAAAGTTTTTTCTGAGCGATATCCGTATCATCATCAGCCATCTGGGCCTTTTCTCTTCTGTGCGCAATGTGAAGGGAGTTCGACATCGTAGGCGTGGGTGACAGTGATCGTTCGATGTTGCTAACGCTCACTCGATCATTTCCGGGTGGTCTTTTCCAACTTTGCCACTTCAGACGACATCCATTTTTGCCATTCAATCGAACCACCGGAATTTTCACCTCGTTGTCTTGGATTAGTTGGACGATAGGTTGTGCTGTTGATAATTACAGCACCACCACCACCACCGCCACCATTGGGGGTTGAGCTATCGACAGGCAATGACGGCATCCGGACATTTGCGAGTGGTACCGATGTATCACTACTCATAGCCTCAGAAAGATTACGGCCAATACTTCTAGAATAAACACTCTCGCTATAAACATCATCATTCACCGGTGCCATGCTCACTCCGTTGTAAACAGCAGAATTATCGCTTTCTGCTAAAGCACGACGATACGGACTGTATTTCCGGCTCTATCGATTGCAAAGGTCGTGCCTCCGAAAAATGCAGACCTTGCCTCGCGGATGACTTTTGGTTTTGGAACTATAGGATCGTCCCGCTGTGCGACTTGCTGTGGAGTGAGCCCTGAAGGGTCTTGTACAGGGTCGTATGCGGCATCAATATCGGATAAGTGACGTCTGTGTACAGACTTCGAATTACGCAGGTGAACACGTTGATGAAATGAGTTGTCTTGATGAAATGAGTTAACTTGGTGGAAGGAGTTACCACGACTAGATCCTAGGTGTGAGGAAAACACATCGTCTTGATTTTGAGGTTGTGTATTACATAATGGTAAATCTGCCGAGTTAAATTGATGCTCAGAGCCAATTGCCTGACCAAATAGTTCTTCGCCGCTCGTGGTGGGTATTGGGTCAGCATTGTTCGAATGGTATAATTCAGGAAGTTGATTTTGGCTCTGATTGCTTGAGTCACAATCAGGGGGGACCTGTCGAATCCATGGCTTGGGCTGTGAAAGAGGATCGGTAAAGGAGCTACTTCGTCTGGGTACTTTCTCAAGTCCGAGAGTATCAGTACTGGCTTTCTTTGACTTTGCGAGTATTGCTTCTGGGCTATTCTCGTCGAGACGCTTCATCAAAGCAGAGCAAAGTCTGGCACTATCTACACCTCCTGGTCGAATTGATTGGACATGGCCAGGGCGATGAAATGCTGGGTAAGCCGGATGTTGATTCTTTACATTTGGGCGATGGAATGTTGCTTTAGAGATATGTGTACCTGATTCATTGATGATAGAAAGTCTTTGATCTCTGCTAGGCGGAGGACGCAGCCCTTGACTGGTGACGGTATTGTTAGCTGTACTATTGGTCCAGCTTGTTACTCTGGACTTTTCATCACTATGATCACTTCGTAGGCTACGAATACTACCACTTTGTGACCTAAGTCTTTGACTTGAGGCAATAGCACGTAATGATGGGACTCTAGCTGCCACATGAGAAAATGCGGCCTCGTCGGGTCTAGGAATATCATCGAATGACTCATGATCTGATGATAATTGCCCACCGTATGCTCGGACGTGAGTCTCAATGGCGTCAACCTGTTGATTGGGGATAGCGACGGGCTCTTCTTTGCTGCGGCCAAATACTCTCCGGAGTTTGCTTTTTAATCCTTGGGACACCTTGCGAGCTTTGGCTCTTAGACCACCCTCTCTTATAGATTCGGCCGAATTGTAGGTCGCTGCAGACTTTCCACTGCTACTTCGAACCGACTTTCGAAAAGGCCTTTCCTGCCGTTGCGCCTTCGACCTGAAAAGGAAAGATGGCTGCTCCCGAAGTCTTTGTTGAGTGGCTTGAACAAAGAATCTATCCCTGGCCATTTGGACGGCATCGTCATTTCTTTCGCAAGACGATGTAGATTTGAAGTAGTCTCGCCCCCCTCGGAGGAAGCTCATTGACTTTGGAGCTCGCAATAGAGCATTGCTCTCTAGAGTCCGCGGAGTGGATGAACAATTGGTGCGGTCAGGGCTACCATTGCTATAGAAGACGTTGGTTGGCGCCGACAAGGGGCTAAACATAGACTTTGACTTTCTGATTCGGCGATATGAAGATGGTGTCGAGGCTACATCATTCTCTTGTGTATAGTATTCGTCGAAATCCAAGTTGGTAACGTAATTATGAGCAGAGTAGTCCCGAACGGCTGATTTACTAAGTGAAGCTTTGCCAATTGATGAAGAACGGCTTGGTGGACGATACGCTGCTGGGACTGGAGTATTTGTGGTCATCACAATAGGTCTCAAAGTAGCAGTACTTAGTTTCTGGTTCAGTCCTGGGGGATCCGTTCTTTTTCCCGCTGATTGGCGTCTCTTTACTGCATTTGGACCTGCAAACCGAACACTCTGCTGACGTTTGAGCCCTGGGTTATCAAGACTTGTAGAACTATTTTGTTGACTCGATCGCCATCGATTTTCTTGACTTGTAGTATTGCTTCGTGAAAGTCCGTTCTTGTTTCCAGAACTGGTACCATTCCTTTCTCGGGCCCTATTGAAAGCATGCATTGCTGCAGCATGAGCATGCATACGAGACTCTTCAGGGTCGACAAAATCGTGTTTTGGATAGGTTGACAATGTTGATTTGCTTCGACTAGGTCGACTAGAACTATTTCGACGGAGCATATCCTTTATGGAATGCTTACAAAAGGAGGTAATTTGAATGAATCGAAATTAAATGCGTGATACAGCTATTACATGCATGCATGTATTAACCAAAAGTTGATTGAACCCAAAAATTGTGAATGCCGACTTTCAACAGAAGACAAGACACGATATATGAAAAGGAGAGATTGACTTGGCCATTCGAGGGGAGGTAACAAGAGCTCTTTCCGTCAACGCTGGTTGAGGAAAGAGGCATGGACACAACGGCCATTAGTGACTACATCAAACCATTTTCAATAAACAAATTCCGGAAGTCCACTATTCAGAAGTCACGAAATAATAAATTATCATGATAGGTATGCTATTAGTGGAAATAACGAGTTGATACAATTTAATACAAATATTGGTCTAATTAGTCTTACGACGAGACCCCCTTAATGTGTTCCTATCCGCAAACGCAATGAAAAATCCAGTAATCAAAAGATGCATATAGAAACATCCATCCGGCTCCAACCCATGACCATCATAACAAACTCATAAGGAAATAGTGAAGGACAATGTCCATCAAGATCTATGCCAAAAAATGTGGCGAGATGGATCTAACTCTAAGAGCTGAACTCCTCAAAAAATTCGTTGATTTCTTCATCAACCATCTTTTGAATCTTCTTGGAAAGCTTCTCGGTCTTAGAAACCATGGACTCAGTGCCCTTGACAACCTTGCCAGAGAGAACATTGAAGTCGTTCTCGATGGCCTTCTCCAAGAGTTCAACAGTTGTTGGAACTTCCTTGGATGCCTTGGCAACGTATCCACCAGCCTTAATGATGGAGCTGTAGTTGGAAGATCCACCACCGTTCCATGCAAGAACGTTCTTGGTGTTAGATGGAACGTCAGAAAGAGCACCCTCAGTAGCAATGGCGATGATGTTCTCCTTCAACTTCTTAGGGGTGATCTCAGCAACGGCATAAGCAGAGTCGCTAGATGGTTGGAGAGAAAGGTAGTAGGCCAAGAGACCAGCAATGTGGGGAGAGGCCATGGAAGTACCGGAGATGGTGTTGACGGCATACTTGCTACCAATCCAGGTTGAAAGAATGCTCAAACCAGGAGCAAAGATGTCGTTGCAAGTACCATAGTTGGAGAAGTAGGCACGGGAATCATCGAGAGCGGAAGCACCGACAGTGATGGCGTTCTCGGCAGCAGCCGGGGAGTAATTGCAAGAATCGGCGTTATCGTTACCGGCAGCGACTGCGAAGTGAATACCAGCATCAACGGCACCGTTAACGGCACGGTCAAGAGCTGGGGATTTGCCACCACCGAGAGACATGTTGGCAACAGAACCCTTGAAGCCCTTCTTTCCCTTCTTAACCTTTTCGGTGTGGGCGTTGGCAGCCCATTCAACACCCTTTACAACATCTGCCATAGTACCGGAACCGTTTGATCTGAGGACCTTGACGGCGTAGACATTGGCCTTCTTGGCAACACCATATTTCTTACCAGCAACGGTACCGGAGCAATGAGTTCCGTGTCCGTTTCCATCCTCATCGGCATCGCCAGTTGGGATGGTCTTGCCCCATTGTGCACGACCTTCGAAATCAACGTGTTCAGTGTTGGTTCCAGTGTCGATAACATAAGCATCGACTCCCTCACCAGCATCAGCGGCATACAAGTATTTGTTGTATGTGCTGAAGGTCAAGGTATCTCTGTGGGAGATACGAGCCAAACCCCAAGGAGCGCTCTTCTCGACCTCGCCCGATGGGTCTTCTAATGTGTGTACGACGGAATCCTTCTCAACATATTCGACCTGCAAGAGCAATCATTAGCACGATTGTTACGTAAAAAGAATGTACCATGAATCGACGATGAGCCATCACGTGCGGCCTTGTCACTGTGCGTGATTGAGCCGGAAACAATGGGCTTGTGTGGGCTTTGTTGGAAGTATGGGGATAAAGGGATTCATCAAGATAAGGATGTTTTGAATCCAATTGGAAACGAAATCCGGAGTAGAAAGCACGCAATCGGTGCTGCAATGATGAGAAGGATTGTACTTACATCAGGATGTCTGCGGACCTCCTCGATGACCGAGTCATCAAAGTGACCGGAGTAACCCAAGAAGTCACTGCCAATGTTGTATGTGTGCTTGAGACCCTCGAAGATATCGGTGGTAATTGGGAATTGACCTCTCTTTCGGAGCTCGGTTCGTTGAGCTTCGCCATTTGAGTGGATGTCTTGAACCCAGCTGTGATGCTCACTGGCAGATGCGGCGGTGACGTGCTTCTTGAATACAACAATGTAGGAGGCTGGAACCTCTACAGAGTTTGCTGATGAAAGGAGAGGAGCAACGCCCTCGTGAATGGTTTCGGTGCTGAATGTTGGTGCCGCAGAGACCAATAGCGGCAAAAGCGATACGCTGAAGATTCCACGCATGATGAATAGATGTGATGTATGAGAGAAAACAAAGAGTTTATATGGAGCTTGATTTAATATCTAGAAATGACAAGAGTGATGGACGAAGAACAGTGATAATGCTGTCTTCGAGATAAAGAGTATTGATGAGAAGAGAAGAAGATGATGAATGATGAGTGATGATGGAGGGCTTGAGAGGTGTTGAAGTACTACATGAACTGCGAAGCTCGGGGAAGCGACAAAATTGCACTAGGCAACTACGGGGGCGATGCTCGTTTGGGTCTAAACCGCTTTGGGAATTAGCGTCTGAGTTTATCAGTGACGAATGGATCACGCAGACCGAACTGACGAAGCGATAAGGGAGGGAATTTGGGGAGGCTTGTCGGCTTGGAAGGAACAGTATGGTGTGGTGTGGGTGTGGGTACGGGTAAGAAAGCTATCGTAGCTCTAGTAATCCATTAGGGTGTGAGACAATCCGATCATGTAAACAAAACAATGCAAGCGGATGGGGACAATAGTGAATTATGGATGAGAGATCCTAGTTTCTATGTTGTCTTACCTTCCAATGTAGGTATTGTTTCTCTCTTCCCTTTCGTTCCTTCGTTCTTTCCTTCTTTCCTTCTTTCCTTCTTTCCTTCTCCCCCGTACTTTGGACCTTTTAGACCGAAAGCTTACTAGGTCGATACGGATCTGCAGTATCGTGATCTATTTATCCATCGTGTTATCTATGGTTGCAGGTGTAATGATCAAACAATGTCGTGAACTCAAAATGCCGTGGTGTGGTATGGGAAATGTAATAATGGTGGCGCTTTATGAACGGTGTATGTATGCAAGAGATGCATTGATTTTAGTCTCTACCATAGAATGAAGATCTCGGGATGTGAATCATGTGATGGTACCGCGGCAATGATATGTATTTTATGTATTATCAACATCCTACAGGATGTGCGAGTAAGTCATTCAGTCCTATCCCTTGAATCGTTAGATAGGGAAGTTGCGATGATCCTGGTTTCAGACCAACCTTGGAACGGTTGAGTTATCCAGCTTTTGGGAGCTTCCCAGCCCATGTCTGTTGTGATTATGATGATAGAGTTTAAGGCGACCAACAGCTTGCGCTCACTCAGGGTCTCAACTAGCCGGTCTTGAGCCAGTCAGCTAGCAGCATCTAACCAGGTACGTACTTTATTTATAAGCTGGCTGGGTCTCCACACCATCATTCAGGTACGAGAAATGTAGCGAAACTCGGGGTCAATCAATGAAATTGTACCAATACCGATGTACACCTGCGGTAGGAACCAAAAGAAACATCCGCCTATTCTCGAGCTATTCTCAAGCTACCGATGCAGCTATTCTAAACAATAAGGCGGTCGAGGCGGTGTCATACCTTGTGTACCCTACCTACTTGTCAATTTCATTCGGTGTGGCTTTCTCCGTGATATGAAGGCAAGATATGAAGGATATGAAGATATGAAGATATGATTGATAGCAAAAAGTCTCAAATATCTCACATATTACTGGAAAGCAATTCACCACCCATTCGGTATTATTCGGCGTGGCTTTCTTCATGATGTGATTGATCTTTAGTTGATAGTCGTCGAGGTTGTGTAGCAGTGTCGCTGTAAAGGAAATCCACACGATCAAATTGAAACGGTCAAGCTCACACGAGACCACTCAAATGTATGCATTTCTAGTCATCGCATACCGGTACCTCTTAGCTTCCTAGCCTCCTATCTATTAATCCCAATCCTTCCTGTATCTGGTCTTCTGAATTCACCCCCCAGTGAGACAATCCTCCGCATGATTTCTATCACTATTTCTATCGTAAATTCAATATTGAGTCAGAAGCGCTGAGCATGTGTCAGAGCACATTCCGGCTTCAGGCTGATTGTAGCGCCGACACGTGATCCCTGATTTGAGATTGTTGATACCGGTGGCTCATAGCTCAAAGGCTCCGAAAGGGGTTTTGGCAATGGCTTCCGGAATTAAATGCATATATGATTGACCAGGAATTGTTCCACGACCATAAACTTCGATGCAAGCAGATACAGATATCTTGAAATCCCAAAAGAATCAAGAAAAGAATCGTTCACAGTGCATTTTTGTAGATTTCATTCTCACCTCAATCATGACTGACATACCATATCAATATTTAGGCATTAGTTTTAAGGCTACAACTTTTAAGCTGGCTGGCCTTGCCATTGACGATGATGTTCATAAGGCTGACATCATGAATTGAGTGAATAGCAACAACCTTGGACCTATTTACAATGAACTTATGGTAATTTGACAATTGAGACTATTTTCACTACATCTCACATTTCTTCACATTTCTACAAAGTATCAATATTGGGTTGATACCGTTAACCCAGTTTCGTGTATCCCCACCTCGCGTACCTGTATCAAACAAAGCCCAACTTCGATGCAAGTCAACCTTGATTGCAACTTATTAGATTCCAATATTTCAAGAGGACGCAGGATCGAACGAAATCTTTAGAAACCGACATCATTCCAATAACTAATGCGGGGCAAGTAGAAGGATTGATCCCCCAAGCTGGACATAGGCGGGGTGGAATATGTCGACACGAGGCCGAAGACATCGCTCGTCGACTGCGGCATCAAATCCACCTGAAGCAACAAAAGCTACCGCAGAACTACAAGTCCTCCTAGATGGTCTATCTACAGCCCTCCAGAAGCGTCTTGAGAATGCATATCCCGATCTGCCATCAATTGTTGAACAAGTTCAGAGCATTCGGGTGTTTCTAATAGCATCCTCGCAGACATCGCGATCAAAAGACGACTTTAGACATCTCCATGGATACCAAATCCTATTGAGCACCCTTCGAGCGTTCTCGGGATTCTATAATCCTTTCAAGAGGAATCAGCAAGATAAAATTCGATTCTTTGATCTTCTCGAAAACATATTGGGGGTGTTGGCACAAACATTTCGTGATCATCATGGGAATAGGAGATACTTCAAGCGCCGGGTGGAAGGAGGAGGATGGGCTGCTTTAGAGCAAATAATAGCTAGTATTGGTATTGGTGGTAGTGAGTCTGATATATGGACCGAAGCACAGCTTTTTGGGCGGCTTCTTGCATTCGCTTTGGACGACAAGAGATTTGAGACTTTATGTCAAATTGCTGCTGAACATCATCCCTCAAGAATCGAGTCGAATGATCTCGTAACATCTGAAGATGTCAAAGACACAATAATCGCACCCCAAGATCCGGAACGCGAGTCTGAAAACATCAAGAGCGATGAAGAAATTCTCGAGTTGGTGGAGACTCGTTTACAAGCCATCCTGCGCGAGAGTTCGTTGCTACATCATGCAGATATTGTTCCGGTTATCATAGACTTCTGGAAGACCATTCCTCGGGTTTCCAACGCTCCGGTAAATCCAGCTGCATCGGTTGTTATTCTAACATTGTCCAAAATTTCTTCAATCTCAAATCACAGTTTGTTGGCTTTGCATTCGACGGGAGTACTATCCACTCTGCTTCCGCTTGCTTTCGATTCTGATTCTCCCCTTGCTACCACCGAGAGACAGACCGTCGAAAACTTGTGCGGTTCTTTAATGTCACTCGGTATAAGCTCCTTAAATGATGCCCAATATCTAGTCTCTAGCCAGTCTCCTATTGCCAGCGAATTCTTGCTTCGCACGATGAAGAAATCTCACACTCCTGCGTATATCCAATTTGACCTTTCTTTAAATGGCTTTGCTTCAATAGAACTTCCCACGCTAGCAAGATCTTTTCCACCACCATCAACGGTGGGAGGTTATACCTTCACGGCCTGGATTTTCGTGGATAAATTTGATCGAAATGCTCATACAACTATCTTCGGGGCTTATGATGAGACTCAAACCTGTTTTCTACTGGCGTATCTTGAGCAGGATACTCACAATTTTATTTTACAAACATCTATTTCCTCATCGCGACCTAGTGTCAGGTTCAAATCGACAACTTTTCAAGAACGCCGTTGGTATCATATTGCAATAGTTCATCGACGTCCTAGAACAATGACTTCGAGTAAAGCAATTCTTTATGTCGATGGGGAATTCGCGGAGCAAGTCAAATGTCAATATCCGGCTCCTCCACCACCCACAAATGCTAGCACAGAGAGTTTCGCGTCCTTCACCTCAACCAGTGCGAAGGCACACCCAGTTCAAGCCTTCCTTGGAACCCCTCAGGATCTCTCTACTCGTCTCGGGCGTGGTGTTGTCTTTTCTCGTTGGTCTTTGGCTTCAGCACATCTCATCGAAGATGTGATTAGCGACGATTTAGTAGCTGTCTACTATCGCTTAGGGCCAAGATATAATGGAAATTTTCAAGATTGTATGGGATCGTTCCAAACTTATGAGGCATCTGCGGCTTTGGGAATGCGTCAGGAGCTTATGCATCCCGGAAAGGAAGATAATTCAGACATCCTCAAGGCTATACGTGGAAAGGCTAGCATATTAGTACCGGAATCTCGCATCATACTAAGCATTCTGCCTACTGCTATTCTTGGAGAGGAAGACCGACTAAAAGGACCGGAATCTCAACTTTTAAGGGGGCTAAATCGAACAGCTTCAAATAACTTATTCCAGTTGACACACAATAGTGGTACTTCCATAGCTATCAATGGATCCACACCTGCCATCAATGATGCCTTGACTAGAGCTCATGGCACTGCGATCTTGACAGGCGAACCAGTAGTCATTGTTCCCCAAGCTCTGGACGATGCAATGTGGAGGCTTGGAGGGTTTACTGCAATTGGACTGAAGTTAGTCGAAGCCGCCAACACGAAAGAAAGTATTGTTCGGGCTGTCGAAAATCTGTTCGAGAGTATTAATGCAAGCTGGCGAAACAGCGAGGCTATGGAGCGAGAAAATGGCTACGCAATATTGGGTGCCCTTCTTCGTGGCAAGATGGGTGCCGGAACCGTTATTGCGACGAGGACAGGTAACTCGGACACCTCGAACATGAGCGAAGATGATCGTAATAAACTTGGTTTCCAATTGCTGAGCTTGGTACTGGATTTT